GCAAAAAAAAGAAAATACAGAATTAATAAACGCGGACCGAAAGCCTTACAAAAACGATAACTTAAAGTACAACAAATGACTAAGAAAACGAGCAAAAATTACAGGAAAAACTATACTTACAAGATCTGTACGGCAACTCCGGATACAACTAAGCGACTGATTTACATGAACCAAAAAATAAAACTTTATACTAAACTGGACTGAAAATAATGAACCTAACGAACTCACAAAAATTGGCAATAACGATTACGTAACGCAACGCCGAGACTAGAATACAGAAAGAATACGCATATGAAAAAAGGCTAACAAAAGACTACTCCAAGCGCGATAACAAAGGCACTAATTAAACTAACTTTACGCAACGCAAAACATGAAAAAATAAAGAACAGGAAAAAACTTGCAGTCTCTCGTGGCTACAATAATTATAAACAAAAAGCTATACACAGCTTGAACTTATTGCAGTAGTTTCTATTCTTAACACTTTTGAGTGCTTTCTATAGAGAAAAAAAGAAAAGACTACATTCAGCAGCCGACACCTAAAACCACGGGTGCTTACTAAAGTAGACAAAACTTGCTGGATCACTAAGTGGCAAACACAACATCAACAGGTCCTATGCATCCAAACCCCTTCCTTTATTATGCATGTAGCGGGCTTATATTATTTAACACACATAACAAATGTTTGGGGTTGTATGGAAATCTTACCTATACATTGTGGTGCAGGACAAGACAAGACAAGACAAGACAATGCTTTATTTGGAGTCTTATACAGTCCTATGTACATCGACTTTATCCAAATAATTTAAAATCATAACACAAATTGCACACTAGTGGAACTATGATCAATGTTAACCTAAAGAACTAATGATCTTCTTTTCTCATAGCAGTCAAATACGTATTTTGCAATTAACTTTTGCACTGGTTTGTTCTAGCTCGGAGGGTTTATTAACAACAGAAACACATCATCTGGTGCCATTCTGTTTACTGATATTCTGTATCCTTTGTTTAAGCATTCAAATAAAGTACTTCTTTTTTCTTGATACGCAGGGCACAGAATTAAAAAGTGCATTTCATCTTCTACGTCTTTTTTACAGATAGGACAGGTCCTCTCTTCCGGTTTCCTATAAGGTCTTACATACCGACCTGTCTCTATATCGCCAATTTGTGATTACTTAGACGGAGTTTAGTTAGAGTTATCTGGTGTCGGATGTTGGTGACCTGACGGAGATAATCTTCACATTCATAATTTTCTAATGTTTTAAATTTTCGGAAGGTTCTTAGTTTGTTCTTTTGGTCGGCGTCTTTTCTTACGTCATTGTTTACGTCACTTAACCATCTTTGTAATTCGATGTCTTTCAGTCTTTGTTTGATAATGTTCAAGATTCCTATGTCATTTTCATGTGCTTTTGTCCAGAGGTATCCCAGCCCTATTTGGTCTAATACGCGTTTGATTTTTTGGCTCCATAATTCCTTATTCATTCTCGACTTCATATCATAATAAACCACCTGTGATAATTTGTTTTTTGGGTGTTTGGTTAGAGTTAGCCAAAACTTAAAATTCCTATATCGTGCTTCCATTTTTATTGGGAATTTTCCTGTTTCAGCCCTACATGCACTGTTACTGCAGTATTTATTTACACCTAGCAACCATTTCAAGAATTGAAAGGATCTGTAAAGGATCTGTAAAGGTTAATTATTACAGGTGTATGGGGAAAATATGAGGCTTGGTAAAACCACATAAAGTAAACAAACTCCAGATGAGATTATCATACTGTCGTATTTATTTCAACACCGTTTGCAACATGAAAAACACAAATAACCTTACACAAATAAAGCTTTTACAAGTAAAAATCGGTTTCAAGATACACACTCAGTGATCTTTGTATTGTTTTAGCCTCGCGAGTAAACAATTTGTGAGCTCGTTGTTTTGTCAATATTTTTAGAGTAAGAACCTTTCAGAATGCGGCAAAATCCAAGGGTCCATTTTTTTAAAGGTATGAAAAGACTTCAAAGTTTCAAAAGAGCGTTTTCGGATTAACTTTAGCAGTATTTTTGCTCAATCGAATGTTAACAATTACAGTTTAATCGAGTAGAAGAGGTGTGTAAACTCAACATTTCCTTTAAGGACAAATTTATCCCCGAAATCAAATTCAACTGACTTGTGAGAAAAAAAATGAAAGGAAATCTTAACGAAAGCTCGAGATTTCAATTAAACAGGACAGAGCAGGGGTACCCAACGACAATATAGTTCAAAACCACTTAAACATAGCATTGTTAAACGTATTTTAGTATTTAAACGGTAGATATGGGCATATTTTTATCCCCTAAAAATTTTTTATCTGTTCGGATTTCCTAGCTGAAAGTCTAGTGATCCGAAAATTATAGGGATTAAAACTTACCTTTTCGAAAATTCCAGCCAGAAAAAAAGGCTCTCGAAAATTCTAGGCGACCTTTTTAGGGTAAAAATCCGTTAAAAATGGGCAATTATACCATTTTTTAGATGTTCGAAAATCCTAGGATAGGCAGGCAAGCAAGAAATTTTAAACAAAATGTTCCGGAAATTCTAGATCTCAAATCGTCTTCCGAACAGATATTTTCCGAAAATTCACGTTGGGTGCCCCTGACAGAGAAAACTACAGAGAAACGGCTCCTTACCTCGAGCAACCGGGCCACCATTGAAGAACAACACAAATTAGCTGCACAAAAAACCTTTTTCCCTAACTTGGCGAGTCGACAGATGAAAACAAAGCTCTACTTTTCTTCTTAGGCTTGAAAGTACAATTTACAGCTGAATTTAAACTTCTAGCGATTCCATATAATCTATCAGGCCATTGTTTCCCATTGTTTCCCATTTTTTATTTGTTGACGCCGCCTCGCTTTGGCGCGCTGAATCGTGAAAGCGAGTCTTCCGGAAGTCAACCAGTTTACCGGAAACTGTTTCCACGTGGTCCGCATAGTTCTAAAACTAACTTTTTGAAATTAAGATATCCCGGCCAACGCCCTTAGACTCCCTCTCTGTCCTATTATGGCTCTTGATCACACTTTAACACACTTTATTATTATTAACAATCTACATTTACATAAAGTCCATTTCCGCCCGCAAAGATAATAAGTACAGCAGTCAGTAATAAATTACAAATAAATAAATAGATATATATAAATAAGTGAAATAAAGGTTAAACATAAATTAATAACATTTACAAAAGCAACTACTTGAAACTCGTAAAATTAACTGCGACACTAAATTGAGATATGTATACTTTATAAATTAAATTCTGTATTTGCTCGATAGTTAGCATTTTTTGAAGCAGAATGAGCGATTCAACATAATCGTCCTCGGCCTCTAATAACGAAAATAACATTTCATTGATATGTTTTTTGAAAGTTCTCTTGGGGAGGTGACGAAGTTCATCGCAAATGGAGTTCCAAAGCTTAGCTCAGAACTAAGGAAAAGAACCATCATGATGGTTTTGATTCAGTCTCGATCGGTTAATATAAAAATTGCAGGAGAGGGAGAACCTGGTCTCGTGATTATGCTTTTCATTTACTTTAATGAAAAGATTACTAATGTTAGTGGGGACAGTTAGACATGAGACGTCGAACATTATTGAGGAAACTGTTTCAACGTATAACATATTTAAAGGAAGGATTTTTGAGGAAGTAAATTAAGGCATCGCATATGCTCTGGGTTCAGAAAAATACATTAACAGAAGGACACGTTTTTGATCAAATTAAAATGTGAGCGGATTATATGGACAGGCGGGTTACCCCACCTAAGTGGGTAACCTCACCAACCTGGGGTCCCCCAACTCCATGTAAACAGGCCTTTACAAATTAAATTCACGCTGTTTTAAAATTTATCGCTCTTATTCCGTGTCGTTTACAGTTGTAAAATGTTGGTGAATTTTTCTGGAGTTGAATTCTCACTTACTGTATCTGAGATTCAAAAATGGTGAAATAAGTCAGTTTCAGACGTCGTGGTCGAGCAACGACGACAAAGAAATGAACAAAAAAGGGTGATACTCGTGCAAAGTTTTGTATTGCTAATCTAAACCTAGTCCCTTTTTTGCCTTCTCGTTGCCGTCGTCGTCGTCGTCGTCGTTGCTTCCCTAAGGTCGAGGCCAAACGTCGAACTATTCATGAGACGAACCTAACTTAGTGAGTTAAGTTCATGAAAAGTTCTACGTCTGGCTCAGTTAAGTTCGTCTGAATGAGTTTGGATCGTCCAACACGTTATATCCGTCTGCTTCAGACGGATAGAACGTCTGAAGATCGTCTCCGGAACAAACGTAGTTAAACGTCGATCATCACTTGCGACGAACTAAACTAGTGAATTAAAAATTTGTATGATCATGTATATTTAGCCTTGTTCGGGAGAAAATTTATCACAATCGCTTTTTGGTTTGATTCAGTTGATTGTTTCGACACGTCTTAAGCTCGACGTCTGACCTAACAGACGATCTTAACTTAAGTTAGGTCGACCCAAATTAGAGTTTGGTTCGTCTCATCATAGTTAATTGAGTGGAATGGTTATGAAACCCGTCAGACTCCTTTGTTATATGTTTTTGTGGACCTGAAAGTGCACAACGTTCAAAAGAATTCCTATCATTTTGATTGTATTGACCAATAAAAACGTTGCATTAATTTTTTCCGTAACAATTTGCCAACAGAAAACAAAGGATTGTGCACTTTCAGGGTGCTTCCAACATAAACTGCAGCACTGTTGTTTTTGTTATTGATGTTTGCCGCTTTTCATAACCAGTCTCCTCTAATAACTATGGTCTCATTAAAAGTTCGACGTTTGGCCCAGGCGTAAATGTTACACCCATCTGCTCAAAAATGGGCAGCTTTGTCAAGGTGTTAACCCAAGTTCCCCTTCTTGAAGGATACTCTTTCAATCTCTTTTTTTCCAGCCTAAACTCCGACCTTGTCGAAAATGAAAAGACTCAGTTGCAGGCTACACAGACTGACCATGAACTAAGTCACTCTATGAACAACACTCAAAGGTCATTCTCGGGCACGCTTTCAGATAATTTCGATTTAGTAGAACCAATTATCGGCAATGACGCCTTCCTTTCTCGGAATGATTTGTTAAATCTAGCCTCCATTTTCAAAGTAATTTCCTGAAAAACTTCTGGGGATTCACCATGCTCTCCCAAAACACGTTTAACTAGCGCCTTCAGCAACTCAAAACAGTGAACAACCTCTCCCGACCGCAACGGTATGTCCATCTCTGCCAATACTTCAGTGTTTGGTTTTGGAAGTTTGAATGGTTTCTTCAGAGTAGCAACGAACTCCGACAGCTGAGTTAACGGAAGATATAACCTACCGTCAGGAACAAACTCCCCCCACAAGACATAGAAGCTGTCAAAGTCTTCCTGGGTGATGCCGAAATCCTCGATCTCGTGAGCACGGTACACATTTTCGAGAATGATAGCAATGTACATATTTATAATGATGAGGGAAACAATTACGATGTAACTGACCAAGTAAAAAATAGCTCCAATGGAACCGCAGTTGCCATGGGGAAGATTCATGTAGTTAGGATCACAGTCTGGCGGTTTCAGTAGCAAGGAATCCATAATGTCATTCCATCCCGCGCCAGTTGATAAGCGAAAGAGTAATGACAGTGAACTACCAAATGTCGCGAAATTTACAATTTCATTTAACGCGCCTTCTTGTTTAACGTGTCCAAACGCTGACATGCCAATGATTCCGTAGATAAATATCACCAAGAAAAGAAGTGCACCTACGTTGAAGAGAGCTGGTAATGAAATCATAAGAGCCCACAAGAGCTGACGTATTCCCTTGGCAAACTCTACCAGCCTTAGGAGCCTAGCAATTCTAAAGATGCGTAGAACACGAAGAAGACTGGGACTGAACATATCTTCATTCACATTTACCTCCCCAAGGATAATCTCTGTAAAGACATTAAATAAAATATTTTTTTAGTCTGCAGCAAAACGATTCACTAAATTAATCCCGTATCTACTCAAGCAACTCTTCGAGAGGAAATTAAAATTTAATACAGAAATTTTTTGAAGCACCTCAAACCAAACCCGACTTGTTAAGGTGAGGAATTAAAGGAGGAGATTTGGTAGTGGGTAAGATAAAGGCTATCTGAGAAGAAAAATTTGTTCCAAAGTTGCTTGATAGTAAGGATAAATTTTGGCTACCCACTACATTTAGAGCTCCGAATTGCAAGCCGGTGGATTCTCCAAAGCCTTCTATCTAATTAGTTCCGTTAGTAGGCAGTTTTTACAATTATCTTGCCCGCCAACCCTAAGCGGAATTTGCGGTCGTGGCGGCTGGATTCACAGGCTTGTTAGTTTTGGTGAATGAACGAAAGCTATGCTTTTATACAGTTTTCGTCTTAAACATGAGCCCTTATGAGTACTAGCTAGAGAAAAAGTGAACTTGTTATCCAAACAAAATATATGTGGCAAATCAGTCGGGAAAACTGCTAAAACAATGTAAAACGGGGGGCCATGCTGCCTCAACCAGCCTTCAGTTACCCTACGCTGACTTCAAGTTCTCGCAACTTGTTCAAAATTCAGTCACAAACTGGGCCCGTCTTTACCTCAGCTTTTAAAATTTTTAAGGGTCAAACACTTATAAACACAGGTCAGTGTGCTGTGTGAAATTGAAGTGGATAAATTTGCCTTAGATCTTGACAAATAAAAACAAGAATTGTCTCACTGTCAAAAAACTGTTTCATGCGGTCTCGATCGCATTGGCAACGCTAAAAAGGCCATACAATAAATAACTTATTAACCTCGTCCGTTCGATCATTACAGGTAAATCTCAGACCTCGCGATCGGGCTTTAAGTATTGACCTCGCTATCGCTCAATCGTAGGCCTCAGTCTGAGATTTCCCTGGAAGGAGCTCACTCTCGGTAAATAAGCGGTATATGAGAAAGATTCACTTGTTTTATAGTTATAATTAAATGTTCAGGTAAACTGTAATTGGTTTTACAATCGCTCGTGCTCTGAACCAACTTGGAGGCTAAAGTAATATTTTCCCGCAAATTTTAAGAGTGAGAACAAAAATGTTATTTGCCGGCCTCTCTTTTTTATACACGGACTATCAGGCCGGCAAATAACATATACAAGTAAACGTTTTTTAGTGAAGAAAGAGCTGGGAATCTCGATTGCATTTGGTCTTAACTTTTAGGAAGGCTGATAAATTTCAAAATTTATGACGGCAATCTAGGATATACCTACCTACAATAGAGCTGATAACAATAACAAAATCAAACACATTCCACGCTTTCTTGAAGTAGTGCTGTTTCAGTGCAATAACCTTTAGTATGGCTTCCAAAACAAAGATACCAGTAAAGATAAAATTGGTTACACGTGATCATGAGTTAAGGAAAGTATTTATAAGATTCACTAGCTTACAGTGTTACTTATTCTGCGGATTGTTATTACATTCGAGGTTCTGCCTATGAAATTTTTTAAGGAAATCTGAGTATTAAAGGAAGAGCTAAATCTAGCATTTTCGATACTCATTTACTTGTTTTGAAATAAATAAACGTGTGTAACGTCCTAATCTTCTGGCTCCAGTTGTTCAAAAGGTGGATAGCGCTATCCAGCGGATAAATCTCTATCCACTGGATAATGCAATTGGTTTCCCTAATGCTTATTCACTGGACAGAGATTTATCCGATGGATAGCGCTATTCAGCTTTTGAACAACTGGGGCCTGCCTGTCTCTGATGGAACGTGCAAGATTCACAAGAGGTATTACTGCCTCTTCGTGGGAAAGACTATGATAAAGGTTAGTTGGGACTTAGCAGAGAGTTGGGAATACGCAAATGTACCAGGAAATACTAACATTTCTCTCAAAACGATGTTACTGGCTTTTGATAATTATATTTATAATTTGCTTTTTTTTCGTATCCTTGGACTTTACTTAAGGCATGAACGGAAAGTTAGTACCTCAACTTCAACCAAAAGCAACTTAAATAGAAATATCTGTTTTTATCCTATTCAGGTAGATATTAGATCTTACAGATTAAATAAATTGTATAAATTAGAAACCGTACTTTATGGAAATAGGAAGCAAATGAAAACACTTGTCGTGGCAAAAGGATATGAAGTACGGTGGTGACCTGGGAGGACTGTCCGTGATGTTGAATCATCATCATGACCATGTTGCACGTTATCACTATCATAATGGCGACTTCAAATTTATTCCCCGTTACCACGTCATATAGCAGGCTGATCAATCGTTTCTGTGGAACATATAAACAATTGCACATGAAAAAAGCATAGCGAGGGGCTCGGCTTTGGGCATCCGGAAAATGTAGTTGTATAGATGGTATTAAGAAATTTATTCCTTAACTAACAATAACGCATTCTTTAACTTTTTAAAGAGGCTATGTCATGGTGAGTTTTATGGTGAATATTTTGGATCAATTTAGGTTTCTGGGAAACTGCCCACCTACCCCTCCCCTAACCCAAAATGTGAGACGCAAATGTTAACGTCGAGTTAGGGGAGGGGTAGGTGGGCAGTTTCCCAGAAACCTTAATTGATCCAATATTTTCATCTTTGCCATGCTTGGTCAATGAATGAAATATATCAAATGTTTCTATCAAAGGAAGCCAAAGAATGATCGGTTTTGCTCATTTTTAGACAACACGGGAGTTTAACTCGAAAACGTTTTAATCCTGTTGCCTCCTGGTCACCGAAAGGTAGACATAAATTTATAGTTGAGTTAAATTACTAGAGCAATTTTGAGAAAAAATGAACTATTATTTTAGGGTTTTCTTTGACTGAACTGTGTTTTGGGGGTTTCAAAATAACAAAAAAATCGTGACATTGCTTCTTCAACTATCGTTTTCACTTTCATAAATAGTTCTCCCATTACTTTAATGAATTTGTCTGGAACAAGTTCAACTGCATTAACTAGTACCTCAGGACGAATCTCCTTTGTGGGTGGTTTCTTCCTGGCGGCTTCCTTTAGAAAACTAACCCACTTTCTTTGTGATTCGGTCAGTAACATACCCATACTGCTGATGTCCTCGTACTAAGATTGAAAATTAAAGCACAACAGTTCGTACGTAAGTGCGCCTAAACTAAATAAGGTAGACAAATTATTCGATAGTTTCCAATATTTATTTAAATGTTTTTATTCACAGCATAGGAGGGTACATCTTAATGGCCGCTTTGGTTTTGGCCAACTCTTGAAAAAAGAAGACCTCATGAATGACGTTAGGGGGCTGAAGACATGAGTCTGGCTTACCCGGGTGTCGCACGCTTTGAAAAGATCACTGCGCGCCAATCAAACGTAACAAAAATTTAATTTGTGATTACATAAAAACCCAGCCAATCCGGTTAGCTGGAGCAGGCCAAGCGCAAGCGAGCCTGCCTAACTATCTAACTCCAGCTGAATTATTTGTATTAATCGTAACATGTGCTCTCATTATCATGAAACATTCTAAAGATCAACATTCTTGTTGTGTTTTTGTCTTGTTTCTGTGAAGTTGTGTCTCGCATACTTTCAACCCTTTCCCGTGGAAGGTCAAGAAGCACCTTTGTTCTATTTCCTAAAGAAAACAGGAGTGTTAATTCAGTGCTTACGTCATCACATCATCATCTCTCTATGGTAGCATGTGCATTAAGAAAACATGTTACGGGCACCACTCACGTTCACAACGAAATTACTATTTTTATTTTGTTTTAATTTGATGTAGATATGTCATTCTTTCGAATAATGTAATCGCACATTTTCATCGTTTTGTCCCAAAAAAACCGTATATGCACCTTTCTTTTTTCAGTTCAATTCTATCACTTTTTTAAATTAAGGGGAGAGTCTGCAAAGGTCAGGTAGGTTTGAGAAAAAAAGTGAATGTTACTTTACCTTCCTTTTTAGGGTGTTAAAGTTGTCAATAATGACCCCTACAAACAGGTTCAACACAAAAAACGAACCCACGATGATAAAAGCAACGAAAAAGCAGTACGCCATCAAGTTGTTCTCAAACTTCGGCTGCATGTCCACCTGAGAAGAAGTACATTTATCAGTTATACACGTTCCAACGATAAAATGCAAATGACAAAGCATCATCTCGCAGGTTTAGAGAACCACAAAGCCAGTGGGCCAGTATCAACACAGAACGCTTAAAGCAAATATTATTGGTCAATTGTTTATAACTATTTTATTAACTACTACTAACGATAATAATTATGAATGATCATGACAATGATAAATTTATAAATACTAAGGTGACGAACTAGTAACCAAAACTTAAGGCTAGCAAAAACTGTCTGAAATATATCAAGAGTGTCTATAAATGGCAAAATTACACAACTTAAAACTACTCGACCATGTTCAAGATCAAGTCACTCTTACACCATGCACATGTTGGCCCATTTTGGGGGTGCCCGCGTAAAGCAATCAGGGTACCCTATGTCTTAGGGGGGATCCCAAAGGCTCAAATGTTACATCATGTTCCCTAATAGGAACAAATGAGTCTTTGTCACCTCTTCATTTGGTGCCCAGATCTGTTTGTAATGGGTGTGTGTGAAACTGTTTCTGTCGATCTCGATTCTAATTTCAATGGACTTGGCGCTAGCTTCTAAGATTCAGCTGCCAGTGTACTCGCAGGAGTGTCACGAGGCTGTTCACGTATAGGTGGTTTTCACGTTACGTCATTGCCGCCATGCTGGTGGACGGTAAACAAAAGATCGCTCATTAGCTCGCATTGTTTGTCCACCAGCATTTGTTCATTTCACCATTGTTATTTGTGTCTCTCGAGATTGCATGAAAACCGCCCATAGGATGAAAACTGGAGACATAGGACAATCATTTGGAACTGAGATGATCTGCCTTCTATTTCTCCGGTAAGTAAATCCATATTAGTCTTCCAGGAGGCACGATCTTGGCAATACCTCAGCTTTCCACCATTTCCTATCACTATTTGCACCTTGTGCACGGTTACAAGTGGAGGCAAATCACTAATCTGCTTGTGTAAACTAGACTTGACACTACGCCGTCGCTGATGAAGAGTTTTCAGAACACGATCACGATCCACCGACTGAGGTAAACAAGAGACGTCGATGAGTTGTTATCATCGTTCGTGTTCGTCGAACTCATCAGCAACTTTGCAGAAGATACGCCAATATCTTCAAATGGTGAGTTGCGACAGTTTAAAGGTCCCCCAAGTGGATCTTCATCTTCTGCTGCAGCCTTCTTAAGAATGCGTTTTGCAGTCTGCACAGACTTTTCTGCTGCTCCATGTGATTGAATATACCATGGTGAGCTGATTGCATAGCAATATCTCCACTCTTAAACTATAGTTAACGGCTGGGCAAATGTCTGGCGCCGAACAACGGTCCGTTGTCGCTGAAAATGTTCTCTGGGATTTCAAACCTTGCAAATATTTTCTCCAAGTTGTTGACGACACAAGTGGCTGTGGTGTGCCCAAGCCGCGCTATTTCAAAGTACTTAAACGTCGGTAACTAACAGACAATCTGAAATGATCTGCTGTTTTCCTGGTACATAGCAAGGTCATACTTGAGGGCTTTCAGCAGCATCTTCTGTATTCTGGGAGGGGCCTCATTCATTGGTTACGATTGACTACAGCGTTTTGTGATCTATCTCGACAATAGCACTCCCCACACAATAGCTAGCAGCTCTCTTTCAATATTTGCATACATCTTCTCAGAGGCGGTCAATGACTTTAAACTGAAAGCAACTGGTTTGCCATCCTGCATCAGCCATCACGGCCATTTTCTGTACTACTGGCATCAACACTTAGAACTGTTTCTATGCTGTTATCAAAGTGAGCTAGCACAAAGGCACTATAGTGAATGAATGAACTTGTCCTGGTAATTTACGGTCCCAAGTACACAAAGCACGCCATTTTCAGTAAGAGGAGGCATCTCACTGATTGCTCGCTCTTTACACAACAGAAGCTGACCAGAAGTTGAGAACAGTACTGGACAGGAGCAAAGAAGTAGGACTGAAGTTTAACCCCCTAAAAAGTGAAACCACGGTTTCCAGACGTAAGTTATGTTGGACATGTGTTCTCAGCCGATGGCTAAAAAACACACCCAAATAAAACTTCAGTCCTACTTCTCTGCTCCTATCCAGCACTGTTCTCAAGTTCTCGTCAGCTTCTGTTGATATTCACCAAGTATCAGGAAATCATGCATTATAACATCCACAGGATCCCCTTCGAAGAATTTTCCACGTCTTTTTTGGTACATTCCAGTAGATATCGATACCATGGTTGTTGAATGTTAAGAGCTTTGCACTTTTATCATTAACTGGCAGCTGCCAGTACCCACTGCATGCATCAAGGGAAATGAAACTTTTAGCACATGGAAGTCGGTTAGCAACGTCCTCCTTCCCCGTAACCATTGAATAGTGTGGTATCTCAAGTGCTTTTAATAGGTCCCTTGAGTCAATACAAGTTCGAACATCATTGTTTGAGGATGGATTATTCTTTTCTTTAACTTTTCGTTTGTCAAAAACTAGTATAGAGAAAGCTTAAGGGGAATGTTTCTCCTCTTCTTCTAATAGTCCCATCTTCTTCCATCGTTCCATCTCGTGCTGGTTCAAGGAGGGCAATTTTTCCTGGGAGAGCGAACTACTGGAGGTTTCAAGGGATCAACTTCCAAATGTACGTTGTTAGGTAGCTTACCAGGCTTATCATGGAAACAATCCTCAAAGTCCCGCAACACAGAATCAGTTTGGAAAACACCTGGAGTTTCTTACACAGATGGTTCTGACTGTGGAGTATCTATCAGTTTGAGAACTTCTATGTCTAAACAAGCATCACACCCCAACAATGGTGTAAAGTTTCCATCAGCGACAGGATACAACAGGTTTATATCACGACTCCCTTATCAAGTTGAAAGCCTCACACAGCTCTTTGGATGAATGGGTTTAGATGTAATCCACCTCTTCAAAGATTGCTGAACTTCTGACTTCTTTGTACAGCTCATAGGAAATGACTGTAGCTTCGGAATAAGATACTGCTTTGATCTGTACATCCTTTCCCGCATCTTTTTCTTTCGAGTGCCACATACACTATCCAGGACAAGAGATCCAAATTCGTGTGCACATCGTGATTAAGCGGAGGCTCATGGTCCACTAACACATTACAGCACTTTATTCTTGCACAACCGTGAAAGGTGTCTTCTCGTTACATTTGTCGCATATTTTTCGAGGGCAGGACAGAGGAGGCTGAGAAAATGAGTGCTCGAACCTTGAGTTTTCTAAGAGAAATGAAGTGAACGTTCGGTAACAGTAAGTGATGATGTGTTAAACGCGTACTGCTGGAGTTCGGCTGCGTCGAATATACGGCAGTCAACATGAGGATTTTTCAGTGTCAGCTCACCTCGCAGTTCGTCTGGAAAACCAAGGCCTAACACCATGTTATAATATCAGTCGATAAAAAGCGAAACCAGAAAACTTCAAACTACTTGATCTTAGGCCAAAAGAACATGTATACAACTCCCATGGCAGAGGTGGATCCAGGGGGAGGGTTGAGGGGGTTGCAATCCCCCCTTTGGGAAGTTTTCAACCTTGTCTGGCTATCCATGTCTATCCCTTTTTCATGCCCAAAAGATATTATAAGTTATGATGTTAGTTCCAGTCAAATCGATCGTTACAAGAAGACTGTAGCTATTCCTCCTCTTGACTCCTTAATCATCCAAATGCAAGGTCGATTTTCTGACGAAGATCGCCAAGCCCGCCATCTGCTTTGTGTCGTGCCATCGATTATAGTAACTGAGGCACTGCGGCTGGATGATGAAGTAGAAAGCATGCAGTTCCGGGAGAAAGATATTCCATTTCTCAAATCCCTTCGAAATTAGGTACTAAGTAGATGGAAAACACTCTGGCCGTCAACAGATAGGGAGCTTCCAAACAAGCTTATATTAGCACCTGGTGTTTGCGATGAAGATGCTTTTCCAAACATCTGTCGCCTTCTGGTCATTGCTGGCACCCTAACGATCACAAACGCGGATGCTGAGCCGTCGTTTTCACTGATGAAATGAATCCAGACCTGCTCTAGGTCAACAACGCCTGAAGAGCGATTCTCTGATCTCGCAGCAGATCGCCACATACTACTCCGAGAGATTCGAGGAAGACGAGATATGCCAGCAAGCCTTTGTAAAGGCTCATTCAACAAGGCTCTTTCAAGCTAGTCTGATTGACAAACAACTATCGTTCTTGCACTGTACTCTTAGTCCTTAATATTAGTGTCTCAAATTTGACAAATTTATACCTCTTCAATCAAAATGTCGAAAATCTACTTATTCAAACATTACCCTCCAACTCCCCCTCCCCCATTTCTTGGCCCCGGGACGTTTGCCTTGAACTCTCATACTTACAATCCCCTCTTTGAAAAAATCCTGGATCCGCCCCTGATCATGGTGGTCCGTTCCCCGGGCGCGCTTGTAAAAACAGCCAGAGGACCTTATGTCTAAGGGTTGTTCCCACACCTTCATATGTTTCAGCTTAGATGAATCGAGCCCATAAATTCTAAGATCAGTATACGTTATTCACAAAATGCCAAAAAGGATAAATGTAGAAATTTCAGAAGTAATTTCGGCGTTAAACCGATCAAAAACGCATGTGGAAAACCAGAAAGAGTGTGGACCCTGGCAGGAGATATTCATCCAGTTAAAAGGCAGCTAGGTAACACCATGATCATAGTAATGATAGTGTCAGCCTCTTTTAAATCATGGTATGGAAAATGAAGAGGTCTGCACTTGGTCGTATCAGCTCCGATAAGAAAACAATGGCCAAATTTTTATTTGAGCTTAGCTACGCAACAATTTTAATATGTTTCTCTAAGAAGAATTTGATACTCACCTTAGTCGAGTCGACTGCGTCTTTCATAACTTCCATCCAACCTTCAAAAGTCGCCTAAAACACGTCATATAAGCACCAAATTCAGCGAGAGATTTCGTTACTTAAGTATGCAAGGCAGTGTATTGTACACCTAACAGAATGAGCGCTAATTACGTAGAAGTGGTACGACGAAAGGGCCAGCTGTAGTGTCCTTTAAAAACCGAAACACAATCAAATGTTTACGAAACGCCACAGCGACACCTATGACGATGATTCATTCTCATACGGGGAAAAATATACTGCAGGTTAGTTTAGCTTCAAAGAGTTTCCTCCTATTTTCATATAAAAGCCGTCCATGCTAGCTTTTAAATTCTGTTTTTTACGCTATTCACCTAAAACGCCTATAATATTACCGGTACTTTGTACAAACAATTAATGCAATACCCTCAACACAAAAATAACCAAACTCCAGTTTTAAAGGTATGTGGTTGGTGGGATTTTTCAAACCTTACCGTCACTTTAGTGCCTATGGTAGCATATGTAAATGTCATTAGCCAGAAGTTAATGCAAAAAATAAAAAAAAGAAAAACAAGTGGCAACATACAACTTGCATCAGTGCAAGGAAGCCTGCTAAGACATTATCAAAATTCACTTGGGAATTGATCCAGCGGTATCCGTCCATGGTGTGGTTGAGACATTCTGCTTTACTGACGATCATACTGGCAGGTAACTGGGCGTTGTCTTCATCCACACACTTGTAGAATTTTCCAGCAAAGAAATGAACGCCCAGAATGCTAAATATCAGCCAGAAGAGAAGGGAAACCACCAGGACATTTGCAATACCTGGTATAGCAGCAAAAAGCGCATTCACCACTACCTTAAGAAGGAGAATACAAACAGTGTTTAATGCCTTCACATGAGATTGAGTAGTCATCTAAGAAACTACGTTTTACTTTATATTGAACTGGGTACGATTTCTATGGGGATTAAACCTGAATGGAATGGTGAATCGCGAATCACCGTGTTGTGTTTTCGGGCGGTCTGTTTAATAACATGTCCGTCATCAAAAAGCTATTGCACCCGATTTAAGAACGAAACCGGACAAACTCTTTGATAGCTTGGCTTGGGTATGTTCTTGATCAGGAGGACCACATCAGTTTGTATTCTTCTGTTTTACCTTAGGATGATCTTTCTTATCTAGCTAACTAAATCACCATGGTCATTGTTTCAAGAAACAGTGACTTAACATGACTTAATTCAGTTCCCCTGGGACATTTTACTAGCAAGTTTTGATTACCTTCATTCCCTCCAGTCGTGAGATGGCCCGGAGTGGTCTCAATGCTCGTAATGTACGTAGGGAACGAAACACAGATAATTGCTTGTTCTCAAATAGACAGGCGAGTGAAATCTGTGAGGTAAAACACATACTATAAGCGATGCGTTTATCCAGCCTTTATACAAATGTTTATACCGTAGCGAGCTTAATAGTTCAAGTTCTACTCACTGAGACAATAAAGGCATCCAAGCAGTTCCAAGGAGAGGCGAATTACTTCGTGAGGCCAAAAGCTATGGCTTTAAGTAGGAACTCGAGCATAAAGACACATGCAAAAATGTAGTTGAGTATTTCCAAGGTTTTCTGGAGATTTGGCCTTTTGTGCAGATTAACGTCTTCAAAAACCTACGAGTTTTAATAAGACCTTTGTAAGCATTTTCCATTTACTGTACTGTTGACGATTAAAGAGATTGTATTTAAATAACATCTCAGCGTGGCTAAGTGGCCAGAACGCTGCACTTCCGGGTGTCCCAGGCGGAACAGGGTAATAAACTCTCACCCTGACCACTAGTTGCCATAAAAAAAAAAATAATATCATAAAAGAATGACAAGGCCAAAATAGCTTCTATGAAGTAAATCATTTTTATGATGAAGTAGAAAGCATGCAGTTCCGGGAGAAAGATATTCCATTTCTCAAATCCCTTCGAAATTAGGTACTAAGTAGATGGAAAACACTCTGGCCGTCAACAGATAGGGAGCTTCCAAACAAGCTTATATTAGCACCTGGTGTTTGCGATGAAGATGCTTTTCCAAACATCTGTCGCCTTCTGGTCATTGCTGGCACCCTAACGATCACAAACGCGGATGCTGAGCCGTCGTTTTCACTGATGAAATGAATCCAGACCTGCTCTAGGTCAACAACGCCTGAAGAGCGATTCTCTGATCTCGCAGCAGATCGCCACATACTACTCCGAGAGATTCGAGGAAGACGAGATATGCCAGCAAGCCTTTGTAAAGGCTCATTCAACAAGGCTCTTTCAAGCTAGTCTGATTGACAAACAACTATCGTTCTTGCACTGTACTCTTAGTCCTTAATATTAGTGTCTCAAATTTGACAAATTTATACCTCTTCAATCAAAATGTCGAAAATCTACTTATTCAAACATTACCCTCCAACTCCCCCTCCCCCATTTCTTGGCCCCGGGACGTTTGCCTTGAACTCTCATACTTACAATCCCCTCTTTGAAAAAATCCTGGATCCGCCCCTGATCATGGTGGTCCGTTCCCCGGGCGCGCTTGTAAAAACAGCCAGAGGACCTTATGTCTAAGGGTTGTTCCCACACCTTCATATGTTTCAGCTTAGATGAATCGAGCCCATAAATTCTAAGATCAGTATACGTTATTCACAAAATGCCAAAAAGGATAAATGTAGAAATTTCAGAAGTAATTTCGGCGTTAAACCGATCAAAAACGCATGTGGAAAACCAGAAAGAGTGTGGACCCTGGCAGGAGATATTCATCCAGTTAAAAGGCAGCTAGGTAACACCATGATCATAGTAATGATAGTGTCAGCCTCTTTTAAATCATGGTATGGAAAATGAAGAGGTCTGCACTTGGTCGTATCAGCTCCGATAAGAAAACAATGGCCAAATTTTTATTTGAGCTTAGCTACGCAACAATTTTAATATGTTTCTCTAAGAAGAATTTGATACTCACCTTAGTCGAGTCGACTGCGTCTTTCATAACTTCCATCCAACCTTCAAAAGTCGCCTAAAACACGTCATATAAGCACCAAATTCAGCGAGAGATTTCGTTACTTAAGTATGCAAGGCAGTGTATTGTACACCTAACAGAATGAGCGCTAATTACGTAGAAGTGGTACGACGAAAGGGCCAGCTGTAGTGTCCTTTAAAAACCGAAACACAATCAAATGTTTACGAAACGCCACAGCGACACCTATGACGATGATTCATTCTCATACGGGGAAAAATATACTGCAGGTTAGTTTAGCTTCAAAGAGTTTCCTCCTATTTTCATATAAAAGCCGTCCATGCTAGCTTTTAAATTCTGTTTTTTACGCTATTCACCTAAAACGCCTATAATATTACCGGTACTTTGTACAAACAATTAATGCAATACCCTCAACACAAAAATAACCAAACTCCAGTTTTAAAGGTATGTGGTTGGTGGGATTTTTCAAACCTTACCGTCACTTTAGTGCCTATGGTAGCATATGTAAATGTCATTAGCCAGAAGTTAATGCAAAAAATAAAAAAAAGAAAAACAAGTGGCAACATACAACTTGCATCAGTGCAAGGAAGCCTGCTAAGACATTATCAAAATTCACTTGGGAATTGATCCAGCGGTATCCGTCCATGGTGTGGTTGAGACATTCTGCTTTACTGACGATCATACTGGCAGGTAACTGGGCGTTGTCTTCATCCACACACTTGTAGAATTTTCCAGCAAAGAAATGAACGCCCAGAATGCTAAATATCAGCCAGAAGAGAAGGGAAACCACCAGGACATTTGCAATACCTGGTATAGCAGCAAAAAGCGCATTCACCACTACCTTAAGAAGGAGAATACAAACAGTGTTTAATGCCTTCACATGAGATTGAGTAGTCATCTAAGAAACTACGTTTTACTTTATATTGAACTGGGTACGATTTCTATGGGGATTAAACCTGAATGGAATGGTGAATCGCGAATCACCGTGTTGTGTTTTCGGGCGGTCTGTTTAATAACATGTCCGTCATCAAAAAGCTATTGCACCCGATTTAAGAACGAAACCGGACAAACTCTTTGATAGCTTGGCTTGGGTATGTTCTTGATCAGGAGGACCACATCAGTTTGTATTCTTCTGTTTTACCTTAGGATGATCTTTCTTATCTAGCTAACTAAATCACCATGGTCATTGTTTCAAGAAACAGTGACTTAACATGACTTAATTCAGTTCCCCTGGGACATTTTACTAGCAAGTTTTGATTACCTTCATTCCCTCCAGTCGTGAGATGGCCCGGAGTGGTCTCAATGCTCGTAATGTACGTAGGGAACGAAACACAGATAATTGCTTGTTCTCAAATAGACAGGCGAGTGAAATCTGTGAGGTAAAACACATACTATAAGCGATGCGTTTATCCAGCCTTTATACAAATGTTTATACCGTAGCGAGCTTAATAGTTCAAGTTCTACTCACTGAGACAATAAAGGCATCCAAGCAGTTCCAAGGAGAGGCGAATTACTTCGTGAGGCCAAAAGCTATGGCTTTAAGTAGGAACTCGAGCATAAAGACACATGCAAAAATGTAGTTGAGTATTTCCAAGGTTTTCTGGAGATTTGGCCTTTTGTGCAGATTAACGTCTTCAAAAACCTACGAGTTTTAATAAGACCTTTGTAAGCATTTTCCATTTACTGTACTGTTGACGATTAAAGAGATTGTATTTAAATAACATCTCAGCGTGGCTAAGTGGCCAGAACGCTGCACTTCCGGGTGTCCCAGGCGGAACAGGGTAATAAACTCTCACCCTGACCACTAGTTGCCATAAAAAAAAAATAATATCATAAAAGAATGACAAGGCCAAAATAGCTTCTATGAAGTAAATCATTTTAAAGATCTTAAAAGATGCACAGCATAAAATAACCTACCAGCATAAAGCTGCTGAAAAACACCATGGAGAGAATAAACCAGTCAAAGTATTTCTTTTCCACAAAAATTCGTACCCGGCCGCGGAACTTAAGCCAGGAAATGCCATCCGTCGATAAAGGCCTCCACAGTTGACAGTCTACACATGCGCAGTGCTCAGGGAGGCAGTCCTCTATGTATAATTCCTTGATTTCTAACGAAGGAACTGGCACTGATGTTACCATACCATTTTCAGAAACCCCTTCTTTTATACATTCCATTTTGACACTGGGAGGAGAATCAACGCCATCCTCAAAACTCGTACCTTCACTGATTGTGTTGTTTGAGCTCTCAATGTCAATAACGTTGTCTAAGGCTGCGTGGAAAGGGGAAATTAAATTAAAAACTATAGCAATGTTGTTCATGTATGATAATGCTAATTTCGAAATAGCAAGTCAAATATAGCATGTCACAGCAAATCTAGAATCATTACAACTGTATAGATTTAAAAAAAGGATGAAAAAGAAATGCCAC